GATAATTACGAATATGATGTCAGTTTTTAAAATTGCAAAATAATGCTGGTGTCATTATTGCCTATTAATTTTGTAGCTTTTAGTGCCTGTTGTTAGGAGTTTAGTATGAAAATGAAAATTACAGACCCAGGCTCAATCGGTGAGGTAGTGGGAGAACGCTACACAGAGAAAACGAAACGACGCGCTGATTGCCTTATAACAGCAGTTCCACATGGGAGCTTCTTTGCTACTGTCGTACCCCCCCCCTTTCATTTACCCAATGCACTCCCCTCTACGCCATCGTGGAGGGGAGTGCATTGAGTATGTACTCAATGCATTTCTCAATATGATAATAATCAGTGAAAATTATTTTTTTGATTGTTGAAAACTGAATTCAGTATCTTATAACTTATAAATTAGGGGTGGATTTCAAGGGTAGGGGGTGAGTTTATTATTATTATCCATATCTGTGAAACATTGAAATACTTTTTTACAATTCAGAAGCACTTAGAATCCATATAATTTTTTTCATTTATTCACAAAAACATTTATCATTAAGGGGTGGTTATTTGACTTAAGGGTTGTTTTTCAGGGGTTGTTTATATTCAGTATTAATACTTAGTTATCATAGAAAATTTTTTTTTTCATATTTTCGAAAATCAGTGAAAATTATTTTTTTGATTGTTCCAAACTGAGAATAGTTATGAATTAGGGGTGGGCTTCAAGGGTAGGGGGTGAGTTTATTATTATTATTATTATCTATGTCTGTGTAACTTTCAAATAATTGTTTATAATTTAGAAGCAATTAGAATCTATAGATTTTTTTTAATCATTTACAAAAACTTTCACCGTCAAGGAATGATTATTTGACTTTAAGGGTGTTTTCAAGGGGTTATTGATCCTTTTCAATTTTTAAGCAACCAGGCAATGTTTATAAATAAATAAAAAGTAGATAAGAGCTGAAAAATATTTAATTCATCAATTTGGTTAAATATCAGTTTTTTGGGGTAGTAATGTACCGTGGGGGTGGTTTTAAGGGGTGAGACATGTTAAAAAAAATTTTTTTCTCATACTGAATACTTTAGTAATTAAATCTAATATACATTATAAGCCTAAAGTAACGACAAAAAACTCGGCCATTAAAGGGTTAAACAATTGATGATTTTTAACTTTCCTGTTATATCTTCGCCTTCTATGGACCCAAATGCGTGTGTATACAAAATTCCAAAACGATTCCTTAATTATTGTCGAAGATACGACAATTTATGTTTTAAAATTAAATGAAATTTGTAAATAAAATATTTACAGTTTTTTAACTTTATTTAATAAAATAGTCGTTCTACAAAAAAATGTTAAAGGAAAAAAAGATGCGCCTTCTTATTTACTATAAGGTAGTACTTTTCAAAAATCAAAGTTTCGAATTTTAATTTTATGAACATTTTCATATCTTTGACTGGCAAAAAAGTAACTCGCCGAGCGTTCGTCCCCTTATTGTATGGGAGCCCTCAATTTGTAAGTTTAAAAGGACCCCGCACAAGCTATAGGGGAAAAATCTTTTGGTCAAATTTTTTTAAACTTTGTAGTTTTGTAGCTCATCATCTCCTGAACAAAAAATGTTAATAGCAAAACCTGCAAAAACGAAGCCCTTTTGAGCTGTACCACGTTGAAAGCATAAAAAGTAGGCAAAAAAACTAAGTCCCTCTGGCTCAGGGCTTGGATTTGGCTCAAGGCTTGGCTTCGACTCATGCCATGAGCCAAACAGAAGCCTCGAGCTAAACTTGAGCTTTAGGCCAATATCGAGTCTTCAGCCAAAATCAAGCCTTGAAACTAACTCGAGCCGTGAGCTAAAGTCGAGCTTTGAGGTCTTGAGTAAAACACAAGCTTTGAACCAAAGCCAAACCTTGAGCCTAACTCAAGCTTTAATCCAAAGTTGCAATGGTTGTTTTTTTGACCGATATTTTTTCTCTGTTTAAAGACCAAATGAAAGTTGAATCAATTAAACGATGGCATTATAAACATGTAACTAATAACTCAGATAGAATTTTAAATAAAATAACGTATCAAACAAAAAGCCGTGGTTTTCCGGATTTGATCTACCCAGAAGATGCTCATATATGTGTATCGGAGCATTTTGCAAAAATGAAATGGAACATCACAGCGGTTGGTATTTGTGGTGAAGAGGATAAATCTTTATATAATTTGATTAATGAATGCCCAGTGTTATCACCTGCCAGACCAGAATTTTAGACATACTAAAATAGTTTGGGTTATTCCCGAGAGATAAAGTGTCGTTGATTCTTCTATATTCGTATAAATGTCATGTGAATATAGTTCTTCATCCTGCCATGCGAATTTCGTTCAAGGCACATATTAGAATGGCGTCAAACGTCGAGCAATTATTTGACAACTAATTGGAATTATCGCTTCATGTTGACGCTATATTGGTCAATAGGCCAATAAAGAAGAAGAAGAAGAATTTCTACATCCCTTTTGAAGAACGTGTTGCCCAAATTATGTTAAATTTTACACTAAAAGAAAGTAGCGCCGCACTACCACCGGTAACACAACATTTCGTCTAAACTTTTTCAGTGTGGCAATATTACAATTTTATCATTTAATATAAGAATTATTATAGGGGAGACTTTTTATTAGTTAGTTTTTTAGTGTCATTTCGCATGTGAGGGCAAGATGGGATATGGAATTTATTTTATCATATAATAATTAAACAAGCAGGGGGTTCTTTAGGTTCATTTTGGATAAGTCCACGTCAGAAATATCAGAATATTCAAGTGGTTCTTTGATTTTAATGATACTTGGTAAAATTGTAGCTTCATATAAGAGCAATCTGTAAGTAACAGGAATTTTTAAAATATCTAAAATTGTAAGAGTTATAATTATAATTACATTATTAAATAAAAATAAAATTCTGTTATAATAGAAAAAAACAAAATTTCTTTTAAAGTTTTTTTCAATTTTTATCTCTTTTTTTAATTTTTTAATAATATTCCATTTTATTTTATCTTTAATTTTAAAAAAATTCATCCTTGAGACTTTTTTATATCTTGAGATATCGTTTTTTGAATATCATCATCTCCAGGAAAATTAAGATCCAGATTTTTCTTTCTATACTTTCATTTGTTTTATAATATTGTTACAAACTAAAAACTATATTATAAAACAAATGAAAGATTTTTATATTTTTAACGTAGACTTACCCTTTTATGAACATTTTTCTTTCTCATTGTGTGAAGCAAAAAATTTGCTTAAGCAAGCAATAAATTTCTTAAACTCATTTGATTTAGTTAAATTGAACATTTCGAGTTGAAAAATGTTTTAAATTAATTAAATTTTTTGAAAAATTAAGAAAATTTTAATTAATTTTAGGTAAAACATATACTTTATATACACCAATCGATTCGTTTTAATGCACGGAATACAATTATTTTATGTATAAATTGAAGATCTATAGTATTTAATTGCTTTGATAAGTTTTAAGAGAATTTTTGCACGGTGGTCCACTCATGACTACAAAAAAAGGTAAAAAAAAAACTAGTTTGAAAAATGTCTAGAAAATTGTTCTGTGACAAAATTCTAAATCCATGTAACTTAGAGCTATTATCCAGCAGTGTATCAGAGTTTGCTAATTGTTTACCTTAAAAAAGTTATACACGACAAACAAAATGTGGACTACTCATGGCTACACTTCCCTATGTAAATTTCAGAATTTATTAATTATCCACAGGGATAGCAGCGCTTTCATTGAAGGGAATAGACTTGCTCTAAAGCATGGGACGCCTTCCAAATATATCAACTTTCCTAAAAACTTTTCGGTATATAAGTGATCGACAATTTTATTGATTTATTTTTTTTACCTTGGCCTAAGAAATGCTAGAGCAATTTCTTTATTTTTTTGTAATTTATTGTTGTAAAATGTTGTAAAATTAAAATTTAGAAGTTTTTGAACTTAAATAAATTTTATAATTAATTTCTTTTAAACAAAGGGTTATTTTCTTCGCACCCCGACGCACTATGCCTTTGGTCATGTGACACGGACTAGCCAGCAATATTTAGTACTATTTGCTCTTGAAAGCATTTCACTTTTCTCAATGTTGTAGCTAAGTTTTAATGTTTATCTTTTAATTTTTGGCTTTTTGATTCCACATTTTCACATTTTTGGATTTAATCCCGTATTTTGGAATTTAGTTCAATTTAAGATTTTTAATTTCATTTATTTTTTGAGAAAACTGTCTCAAGAAAGGACTGGAGCCCAACTTTTACTGAGTTTAGTGCGACCAAGTTGAGGAAATATTAAAATGGCTTAAATTGTTGTTTTTTTCGAAATTGTGAAAAACTGTGAAAAAATATTGGAAAAATTATATAATTCCGGGAAAAATTTTAATTGTTGATATTTTTGTAAACATTTGGTATTTTGTTTAACTTTGTTAATTTATATAATTTTGCGGAATTCCATTATTTATTTTTGTTTGTTTATAATTCTTTTACTCATTTACTATTGTTTATTTACAAATTTTGATAATTTGAATTTAAGTAGGTAATTATTTTGTTTATTAATTTTTAGAGTAAAATATTATTATCTTTTTATTTTTCTTAGGTAAAAAGCCCACTACAAATTATAACGACCACAAAAGGGCAACAGGTGTATAATTGAAAAACACCAAAGTTTAACGTTTCGGAGTTGACTCAACTCCCTCTTCAGAGTCAACTATATTCTGGTCTTGAGTTTATTTATAATAATAATCATCTTTAACGTCCTTCAATATTCAATAAATAATTATAACGACCACAAAAGGACAACAAACAAAATAGGTGTATAACTCAAGACCAGAATATAGTTGATTCTGAAGAGAGAGTTGAGTCAGCTCCGAAACGTTAAACTTTGAGGTTTTTCCATTATACACCTGTTTTATTCGTTGTTCCTTTGTGGTCCTTATAATTATTTATTAATTAAAATTAAATATGTTCATATTTAAAGCTACTTCATACATTACTTTAAGTTTTACCTTTTGCAAAAGCTAAACCACAAACTTCACATTTAAACGGTTTATCTCCTGAATGAAGTCGTTTATGAGACCAAAGAGAAGAATATCTTGAAAAAGTTCCATCACAAACGTTACAATGAAACGGCTTCTCCGGTTGGTTTTGACTATTCTGCTTACCTCCTAGTTAAAAAATAAAAATATTAATTTTTTTCAAAGACTGGATTTTGTGTAATATTTTTCTTGTGTTTACGCTTCAAACACTATCGATCGAATCAAGGCAGTCGAAAGAAAAGTCGACCCAACTTGTGAATTAATATTAACACTTGTGTTAATACATTGAATAAAAATAAATTTAAACGGCTTGTTTTCGTTATCGTAGAAAATGTACACTTTTACAACAAATCAAGAGGAGGTGCAAAAAATGTATCGAAATATACTGATTCGTTGCGCCACATCCTATTAACTACTTCATTGTCAAGGCGCACAATGTTCTCAAATACCCAAAAAAAACTTATCAGAAATCAGTAAGAGAAACAGGCGCAAAGCGCTTACATCCTGGGATTTCATTGATTTAATGTTAAAAAATTGTCAATTTTAATCCAACTCTCTTTTGAAGTAGCTTAAATATCCTGATTAACAGCGCATATTCGCTGTTTCAAAAAGTTATAAGCTACATGCTTGAGTCTCAAGTCTTATGCTTAAATCTTAATTCTTTTATTAAAGTCTTAAGTTTTATGGCAGAACCTTTAAGTGAAAGTTAGTTAAAACTCACCGTGACAATGAAAAAGAAATTACGAATTAAAATTTAAATATTATTAAAAAAATTATGTGACGAAATCAATTCTTATAAATAAAACAAGTTAAAAGTACTTTAAATTACTTGATATATGTCATTTGTACGTTTGTGACGAGACCATGTACAGTGGGACAAAAGTACAATTATCGTCTTGAAATTCTATCGAAACGCGAATTCTTAACCAATTTTAATGTTTTTTTTAAATTCTCAGAAGGAGTTTCTCTTTAAATGAAATTGTAGCGATGGCAAAATTTTTCAAAACATAACCTACAAAAATGATTTATTGAAAAATTTTCAGTTATTTTTTATTTTTTATTTCCTCGTGGAGGAAGCTTTGTAGTCCTTTCGTTTATAAAATTTTTAAACATGGTGAAAACAAATTTTCCTCTATATAGAAACATGTTATATGAGATCCTGATCAATTGTCCGGATGTATGTATGTATGTGTGTGTGGATCGTTTTTGTGAACACGATATCTTTAACAGATTTTAATGCATTTGGATAAAATTTGGTAGGCTTATTTATCACATTAATCTCTCAAAAATTACGAGAAGATTTTTAAAAATACAAAAAAAAAATTTTATCGTCATTTTTCCAAAAATTTTTTTTTAATTGAAAAAATTTTTAAATAGAAAAATTTAAGGTAATATATAATATAATCGTCTTCCTTACAGCAAGACTGTTCAAACTTTTCATATTCTAAAATGTATTCATTGTGCTTAAACCTGCCTGTAGGCAGCCCTTCTTTCATTTTAGTATCACCACTTTCCTTTTGAATCAAGTTAGATTCAGATTAACTTCCGCGTTCTCACTAAGAACATGTGCTCAGCAACTTATTAATTAAAATCTTTTGTTATTTTCAACATCCTTCGTTATTGATAATTGTGATGAGTTTAAAAGGACAAAGTGAAAAATTATGTTCAACCTTGTAGAATTATTTAAGTGCCAAAATAAACTTTAGTCGTTATATTTTTAATTATTCAATAAACAATGTATTTTTGATTCAACCCACGCCATCAAGAAAATCATGACTTACCATTTCAAATAATTGATACGACTTCAACATTACATTAATTATCAACAAAGACGAATCGATTGGAATATATAAAGTATAGATTTGATTGAAATTTTAAGAATTAATGAAAGTTAAAAAAACAAAAATTTACATTTTAGCTAAAAAATGTTGTGTTTATTAAAATTTACTATTATATATGAAATAATAATAATAACATAATTTTATGTTTTTACAGAAAGAAACTTTGCTTAGTTGGAAAGAAATTCTAAAAAGGAAAGACGGAATCGAAAATTTTGGCACAAGTTGTCGAATATACGCTATGCATTTCGCCGAAAGTGCGATTGAAAGAACGTATCACGGCGTTCCTTAACCAGCATTAAATAAAAAATGAATGGACCTCCGATTTTTTTTCGGGGTTTTGAAGTAGAGGTAAAAATATTACTTTTTAGCCCAAAACGAAAATCTTCGGTCGAGCTTAGAGTTTTTTTTTTAATTTTAATTTTTTATACAGGTTTACAATGCATTTTTGGAATTATTTATGCGTTATCCAGCATATATATAGTATATACATGTATGTATTTATGTATATATCTATATATATGTATATTATGTATATGTATATATATATATATATTATATCTACACTCACACACGCACACATACACATATACACGCGCAAGCAGAATGTATCTTATACAAAATAAAACACAACAATTTTAAATTTAATTTGCAGAAGCAAAAATAAAAATGAATTTTTTTAATACTCAATAGAAATTCATAAAGTTTTACATAATTGTTTTTAACTCAACGAATGATAAATATAAGATCAACAATAATAATACATATTTGAAGAACAATATAGTAAGTTGCAATTTAAACATTACTTATAGGGTAAAATTAAATGTTACAATTTAAATATGATAAGAATTATATTCACCAACTGCCCGCATCAATTTTGCACCATAATCTGGGTTTTGTTCATAAACTTTATACTTCAGCCAAGTAACATTAAAGTCGTGGTGTACGGACTCCATAGCCTGCTCCCCGTAGAAGCCTAAGCCACATTGATATATCTCACAAAAATCTGGTACATGGAAAAATACTGCATGAACCTTTGGTGTTACTGAAATTTCTAATTTTAAATAACTTGATTTGAAATCTTCAATGTAATTTTTATAATTGTCATCCAACGTAATACCAAAACAGGCTTCTACAACTTTGTTGAATTTTTGAAATACGTCAACATATTTTAAGCACGACTTTAATGTTACTTGGCTGAAGTATAAAGTTTATGAACAAAACCCAGATTATGGTGCAAAATTGATGCGGGCAGTTGGTGAATATAATTCTTATCATATTTAAATTGTAACATTTAATTTTACCCTATAAGTAATGTTTAAATTGCAACTTACTATATTGTTCTTCAAATATGTATTATTATTGTTGATCTTATATTTATCATTCGTTGAGTTAAAAAAAATTATGTAAAACTTTATGAATTTCTATTGAGTATTAAAAAAATTCATTTTTATTTTTGCTTCTGCAAATTAAATTTAAAATTGTTGTGTTTTATTTTGTATAAGATACATTCTGCTTGCGCGTGTATATGTGTATGTGTGCGTGTGTGAGTGTAGATATAATATATATATATATATGTATATATATACATATACATAATATACATATATATATAGATATATACATAAATACATATATGTATATACTATATATATGCTGGATAACGCATAAATAATTCCAAAAATGCATTGTAAACCTGTATAAAAAATTAAAATTGAAAAAAAAACTCTAAGCTCGACCGAAGATTTTCGTTTTGGGCTAAAAAGTAATATTTTTACCTCTACTTCAAAACCCCGAAAAAAAATCGGAGGTCCATTCATTTTTTATTTAATGCTGGTTAAGGAACGCCGTGGTATAAAAATACTCTAAAGGTTCTTCATTTGAAGAAGTAGCATTGAAGAAATCTAAGTTATGCTTCAAAACCATTTCTACAATTTTCCCTAGCAAAATTCCTAGGAAAAAGCAAGAATATACTGTTAAAATTGTAGATGCAGAAATCTTAAATGAACAAAGAAATGTATTTACAGAAAATAGGAATGAGACACGAAAAAGGAAACTTGAAAGTGAATCTGTTTTGGAAGGAGAAACACCAGAAAAGCAGATCAATCTGAAAAATACTTTATATTCAAAAATCGTTGATGATTTTGTTAATGGTGTTCAATTATTTCAACATTCAAATTAGAGTTAAGCAATTAATTCTGAGGAAGAAGTCATTTGGTCATTGTGGAAGGAAGATCGTTCATGTATGCTGAAGAGTATAATTTTATTCTTCGTCGAAATTTAACAGCAAGCGTAAGTATTTATGGTTAATAATACAATTGTTATAATGCATTTTTGAAGGTAAGAAGTTGTGAAAATATAATTTATTTTTTTTTTGTATGCCTAAGTCACCTCAAATCAATGCAAAAAGGGAGATTTTTCGGTACACGTTTCTAAAAACTATTTTTTTTATTACCTCGGGTCGTTTTGCATTCAGTTACATTACAGATATGGTCAAGAATTCAGTCAAATAGTTTGACATGATTTTGACTTATTTGGAAAAATATATACATATCAAGAAGATTAGAGACAGGAGAGTCAACTTCGCTATTTCTCCTCAGGCAGCTTGAAGTTGCATCGTGAAACCGCTTGGGTGGGACTGTATAGAAACCTATGCTGTGTTAAAAGCACTTTTGGTTTCTGCGCATTCTGTCCACATGTGATCAGTGAATGACAACAACTGTCAGCTTTCATAAAGCGATTGAAAATCAAATAATTTATAATAGTTTTCAAAATATAATTTTAAGAATAGTGAAAACACATTTGAAGTGTTGTAGAATTTTATTGTGAAATTAATCGTGAAACACAGTTATTGTGAATAATAAATAGAAATGAAGATCTCACAACAACTTTCATTAATTTGCAATTAGGATGACACGAAAGCAGTACTATATATATATATAATTTTTCACTTTTTAACTCAGTTTATATACACATGTGAATTGCACGTGTCACATGTTGCACGAAATTTCGCATTCCATTTCTACTTCATCCCCACCCCATTACTTGACTCTCCTGACTCTAGTCTTCTTGATATAAACATGAGAAAAAGTCAGTAATTTTTTATAACTAAGTTTAAATGTTTATAAAAACATTTGTAGTTAACTTGAAGTCTTGTAACTATTTGATTGAAGAATTGATCATATCTATGATTGAATGCAAATAGGCCCGAAGCAATAAAACAAATAGTTTTTGAGAAAAGTGTACCGAAAAATCGTTTTGTCTTCATTGATTTAAGGTGACTTAGGCGTC